ATGGCCGCACCCGGTCCCTGTCCCTGTCTACCGGCGGCTCCCGGCCGGCCTGTCCATGGGCCGCATCCCGATCCCTGGTCCCGGTCTATCGGCGGCTGCCGGTCCCTGTCCATGGGCCTCAGCCTGTCCCGATCCCGGTCTATCGGCGGCTCCCGGTCCCTGTCCATGGTCCGCATCCGATCTCGGTCCCGGTCTACCGGCGGCTCCCGGTCCCTATCAATTCCTCTTGCTCTATTTAACCTTTCCCGGTCACTGTCACTCTCACGGTCAAGGGCTCTTCTTCGCTCGCCCTGTCTGTCATCTCTGTTACGGTCACGTTCTCGAACATCTTTGTCAGCAGCAACTCGGTCTCGCCAAACGGGAGCGTTTTTGTCCTTCGGAACTTCTTCAGGATTCTCTGATGGAGCAGGCGGTCTGCGAGGCGATTCTCCATACCCAGAGGACTCTCGGTCAGCAAACTCACGATTTCCAGGTTCTCGTGGAGTCATTCCCCTGTTCGCACGTTCAGACCTGTCCTCCACCTCCTGTCCATTCAGCATCGCATCCCTGGTATCTGCCATCCTATCATCGCTCCCCGAGCGCACACCCTGGTTATCTCGGGACTGATTTGGTTGCTCATTCGGTTCAGTTGACCCATGAGTTTCACGAAGTCGCTCTCTTGCGTTGGGATTGTGCCAATGATCTTGCCGATCGGGGGTCGGGCGGGGTGGGCTGCGGCGCCCTTGGGCATGCCGGGGGGCAGCATGCGCCTCAAAGCTTGACGATGATCCACGGGATTCGGTATCTCTACGATTGTCGTTTTCCCTTCGTCGATTTTCAGCATTACGATGACCCTCCTCTTGATGCCTTTCCTTTCGATTTAGATCCTCTACGGGCACTCGATCTCCCTGAGGCAGCTCCCTACGATCTGGCCGAGGACCAGGCTGCCTTACAGCTCGTTCCTCTCTCCGTTCTCTTTCTCTTGACCTATCGCGATCATTCCTGGGCCTGGTTGGCGCCGTGCGATTGTCTCCTGCATTTCTACGCCTGGGTTCGTTTCTGACGCTCGCATTTCTATCGGCTGCGCGCTCCTTCCGTTTGGCAGGCTCGCCGCCAGGTTCGCCCTTGTCATTAGCTCGATCTTTAGCTCGTCCTGGTTCAGCCTTGGACCTCGTCACCTTCTTCTCCTCGTCCGGCCCCTCTTGGGAATCGCCTGGATTCCCTCCTGCTTTAGGGTTGTCTTCGTCCTCGCTCTCCTCCTCCAGCCCCAGCTCCCCCAGCAGTCCTTTCTCGTCCTCGCTCTGGTCGTCTGAATAAGCCCTGGAACCCTCTTCTTCTTGAGAGCCCATGTTCTCGTCCCGCTCACCGTCTTTGGCATCTGAGCCGTCCCCCGCTCTCCTGATCAACTCTTGCAGGTAAAATTTCTCTGGCCTGTCCGGTGCTGCGTCACAGGCATGCGATGCTTGGAGCAAAATATCACCTCTCGTTTTGTGCTAGCAGAGCCGAGACTTCGGGGAACTTCTTCTGCAGCTCCTTCTCAAGCGTCTTCTGCGTGATGTCGAGCTTGCAATCCTCTAAGTAGCACTGCACAAGCTTCATGATGTGCGCAGTTTCTATGGTGTCCCCCATTGTGGTCATCGTCGTGGTATCCCGTTCTGCCCAAGTGAATGAATGTCTTCCGATCCCTTGTCAGTTCTGCTCTTGCATGCTCCGAAGTCGCCGCTCAGCCCGAGGGGTTGCTTCCTGTGCGAGAAGTGCATCAGTGAGGTGTGACTGGCAGTGCTTTGCAATGAAGTTGTTCTAGCAACCAACCCGATCTTCTCCTTCAACTCCCTCCTCCCCCCCCCTCCTCCCCCTCCCTCCTCCTCCCTCCCACCCTCCTCCCTCCATTCCTCCCTCCTTTCCTCCCTCTGTCCTCCCTTCCGCGTGCTTCGTCCTCCCGCACGCCCTTTAAAACCTTTTACATAACATCGGTACAAAAATAACTACTTATAGTCTTAAAAGTGGTTTTAGTATTCAAGTATTCATATTCTACAGAGTTTTACTAATTTTAAAGTACTTGAACCCTTTATCCCACATTTGACCATGTTCATACAAATTTTGTAAATTTAGATACATTTCTCAATACAAAAATTCAGCAAGATTTTCAATTTTAAAACATTGATGGTAAAGGAGGGGTCATTTGAATGTAGTATCAAGGGGTGTAGGATGAGGATGGTGCTGAATATGGGCAACAGGGGGTACATCGAAGGCATTTTGAGGGTGGGGTGGTCTGCTCCCTGAAGTACCCTTTCGTAGCAATGCTCGTTCCAGTGAGTTCAT